CACCTCCCCGACGTCCTGAACCCGGTGTTCTTCCTCAAACTAACTGCACGGCCACTCTCCAAGCATGTCGGCCCGAGGTATGAAAATGGCGAGCCACACCATGAAGCCCACGGCCAAGACCATGAACATACCGGGCGCGATCATGAATCAGGCGCCCTGGATCATGAAGACCCCCGGGCAGCTCTGAAGTTTATCACCTAAACTATGAATGTGCCGGCCACAAACATGCGTTTGCCGGTCCTAGACATGAATGTGTCGGGCTAAGCACGAGTTTACCGGGCTAATCCCACGCGCACGATCCTAAAACATCTACAAACGCCAGAAATCATGCATTCTAAACAGAAAAATGAAGAAGATAGACCACTTACTTGGATCAAAGAGTGGGATCTGGCTACGAAATGGAAGAATCTGTGACGAGAAGTCGCAACTGGAAAAAATCTGGAAGAGCAGCAGCAGAGAGAGCACAGAGAGCAGAAAACGTATTATGGGGCCCAAGGTTCCTATTTATAGTGATGACGTGGAATACCAAACGTCACCTCGGGCAACCACAGACTCCATCTCCTCGACGCACTGCTCCCAACGCAATGATGACCCTACCCCCATAGGGTGGCGGCACAGTTCCCGAAAGATACCTCGTGTGCTCAACCGACGCGCCCGGTAAGGATCCTCCGCGCATCCACCACCGAGGACGTCTCCGAGCACGACACGAGGAGGCCCCTCGAGGGCCCACACCTCTATCCCGGGCACGAGACCTCAACGAGGGAATAACTTGGGTTCAAGTCATGGCTCCTCGCAAAGGAACCACGACTTGGGGGGCTCCTGTTCTGGACTGGGCCCGATAGGCCCAAAAGCATTACTAAGGCCCAATCCAAAGGGACTTACTGAGGACCACGCCGAGCAAAGGGGTCACATCCGTGCCCGACATCCTGATGTCCAGCTCGACATCCCACTGTCCAACTCCAAGTGATGATGTCCAGCTCCACCTCTTGACGTCCAGCTCGACATCCTGCCGTTCAGTTCCACGTCCTGACATCCAGCTCGACACCCTACTGTCCAGCTCGACGTTGTCTCGAGCATCCCAACTAGGGCAGACTCAGTCTACCGTTCCCCAACGATACTCTGGAAAGACCGCGTCTCCGTACGCCCGCACTTCACGCAGCACATCCAGGAAGGGGACCACGTGCGGGTCCCCACTACCCACGTAGAACCTGGCAGTTCCTCCATTGGGCCAAACCTACCCGGCCCAATGAAGGGACCTTGGCACAGCGCTGGGGGCTATAAATACCCTCTGTTTCCAGAGGGTCAGGTATTCATCATTCTAACCTCAACTTACTATTATCTGCTCGTACTCCTACTTACTTACTTCAGCATCGGAGTGCCTTGCAGGTACCCCCCCCCCCACCTCGTTCAAAAAAGCTTTCTGCTCGGAGCCAGCCGTGACGGTCCATTTCTGATCAGGTCAGATCAAGACCTATTGACTTTTGATGCTCAATCTTCGACTTCTGACAAGTCAAGCAAGCATAAACAAATTTGGCAACTTCCTTTTCATACCAAGCCACCATAATAACTTTTCAAGTCTTGATACATCTTTATAGCACTAGGATGAATACTCAACTCACTTTTATGTCCTTCCTAAAGGATACTCTTCTTAAGCTCTAGAATATCGAGAATACACACTCTATCGCCAAACCTCATTAAACCATTCTCATAAATTCTGAACTTATCTCCTTTACCTTGGTTAATCAAAGTTAATTGATCGACTAACCTCAAATCAGACTGACCTTCTCAGATTTCTTCTATTATACCACTACTCAGTTTTAACATTCCTAACTTCACACTTTTAGAAGTCTCTTCACACACTAAGCTCATATCTCTGAATTGTTCGATCATCTCTAATTCTCGAACCATAAGCATCAACATATGCAGCGACTTCCTACTCAATGCATCAACAACTACATACACCTTACCAGGATGGTAACTCAAATCAAAGTCATAGTCTTTCAACAATTCAATCCACCTTATTTGTCTCATATTCAATTCTTTTTGGTGAAACAAGTACTTCAAACTCTTGTAATCACTGAAGACTTAGAATTTAGAACCCAAAAGGCAATTCCTCCAAAATTTCAACACAATCACCATAGCTTCTAGCTCTAAGTCATGCGTAGGATAATTCCTATCATGAACTATGAGTTGTCTAGAGGCATAAGCAACAACTTGCCTATTCTGCATTAGCACACCACCAAGTCCCGTCTTAGACGCATCACAATATACCACAAAAGACTCACTCAGATTAGGAAAAATTAATACCAAAGCAGTCGTCAACCTCTTCTTTAATTCTATAAAGCTTTCTTCGCACGCAACATCTCACACATAGGCCTGACCCTTTTGAGTCAACTGAGTCAACAACAAATCCATCTTAGATAATCCTTCAATGAACCTACGATAGTAACCTACTAAACCAAGAAAACTTCGAACCTCAGTTGCAGACTTCAGAACCTCTCATTGCAATACAACATTAAATTTAGAAGAATCCACAATAATACCACCACTAGAAATCACATGACCAAGAAAATTAACTTCCTTTAGCCAAAATTCACACTTTGACAACTTTACATACAACTTCTTTTCCTTTAACACTTGCAACACCATTCACAAATGCTCAGCATGCCCTTCCTTCATCTTTGAATATATCAGAATGTCGTCAATAAAAACTACAACAAACTCATCCAAATATGAATGAAAAGTTCTATTCATATACTCCATAAAAACACCTGGTGCATTAGGTATACCAAACAACGTCACTGTGTATCATAATGAACATACCTCGTTCGGAAAGTTGCCTTTGGAATATCATCTAGTTTAACTCGGATCTGATGATAACTCAGCCTTAAGTAAATCTTGCTGAAAACACAAGCACCCACTAACTGATCCATCAAACCATCGATCCTCGGTAGTGGATAGTTATTCTTAATTTTCATTTTATTCAGGTATTCGTAATTTACACACAGCCTCATACTTCCATCTTTCTTCTTAACTAGCAACACAAGAGCGCCCCACAGTAAAACACTCGGTCGAACGAACTTCTTCTCGAGCATCTCTTCCAGTTGTTTCTTTAACTCGCTCAGCTCTGAAACCGACATCCTATAAGGAGCCATTGACACCGAACTCGTACCTGACACCAAATCTATAGAAAACTCCATTGCACGTTCAGGAGGTAAATTACTGATGTCATCTGGAAACACCTCTGGAAATTCGCAAACAACACGTAATTCCATATTCGCATCTTTACCATCCACTTGCAACGATGCAAACATTGCAAACATCAAGGCTTCATCTTCTAAAAGTTCATTCACTTGCTTAGTTGTTCTCATACCTCAAATTTGCCCGCCTTAGTGCTACCGTCAAACTTATTTTCGAATTTGGGTGTTACAGATATAAAATTCCTTTGATTTAATTATATCAACATTCTGAGTTTTAATAAAAAAATTGTTTTCAAGTCTGTTTGAAAATATAATAATTATTTGTATTTTTGTAAGAAAAAATAGAAAATAATTGTTCGCTGTCATATACTTTCAATTGGCTTTTTACTTTCGAATAAGTAACATAGCACAGTTGGTAAGTCAGAAAGATTGACATATAGAAAGTCACAGGTTCAAATCTCACTTGGTGCACTTTGGATATTTTTGCTGTTACTAACTTTATTTTCATTTTCTAAACCACAAAAATCATATTTTTTATTATTAAATTATTATTTTCGTATTTATTTATTTATTATATTTTGAAAATATTATTTTTTATTAAAATATTTATTTTATTAAAAAAATAGTCAAAGTAAGTTATAAATAGATAAAATTTAATATGAGCCTTTTATTCACTTTGGGCTAGCTTTCTCTCCAAGTTTTTAACCTAATTTCACTCTATAAATAGGACTCATTGTTGTCCTAATTGATCATCCAGAAACATCAAGAATTTAGCCAGAAATATTCACAATTTCCACAATATCAACAATCATACAAAATTTTGCAATTTTCTTAAACACACACAATTATGCATTTTTACTAACACGCGTCATTTTTTAACAGTTGTGGCCGATGATTCAATATAAGACCTCCCACTAATTTTCAATTTATATCTCCTTTTAATTATTTTAAACACTACATGATGTCCGATAGTAATTTATTTTTCTAAATCACATTCCTATTAAGTATTTTGAACACCAATTTCTTTCATCATAAAACCTTTTTTTTCTTTTCTTCACTGTCTTTCAACTTGTAAATACACCGATCCTAATTTTGTTCATATACAAATACTAACATTCATCAGCACACACGCAAAAACCTTGCATAATCCGATTTCTTCTCATTTATACACGGTCAGTGCCAATTTGCTACTACCAAAAAAAAATAACCACAACAAACCTTACCACCATTCTTCAATTCAAACAGGCAATAAATATCATCACCTTCACTTTCTTTTCCAAACAAAACTACAATTTTAAAACACCATAACACTATAATAAACATCATCATTATTTTTGTTTGCTTTGTTTGTTGTGTCTAACAGATGAAGAGAAAAGGAGAACGAGTTCGTCTCCAGCGAAACAGGACCCAACAAAACTATTACATAATCGCATCATACTAACAATACTAACCATGAGTTCTAAGCTGTAATTATTTTTTATGCATGTTCATCATAAAAACTACAGCACAAAAAAAAACAAAAAGATTGAAACAGAAACATCATGAACAAAAGAGAAAAAGAAAGGAAGAAAACAGAACAAGTTCAACAACAACATAAACTTCTCCGCTAACTTTTCTCCAATGCCCCTGCAAAAAGCGATCAACAACACCATCAAATGCACAATTTTCAGATTTTTAACATATGAATTTTTATGTGTTTGCTTACCAATTTTACATAGGTAGAGATTAATTGAAAGATGTGGAAACCAGACGAAGAAACCTACGCCATAACCATCTCACGACACCACCGCGAAGACGACGATGTCGTTGAACTTGGACATTCCGGCAACCTCTGCACGCATAAGCCTCTATTTGCTCATCGGAAGCCGCCATCAATCAAATCGCGACCACCACACACCCGTCACAGATCTACCACTTCCAACCACTGTCGACCGCTCTCCAAATGAACCTTCCGTCAACGACTCCCAACCTCCGCGCGGACTCCCTTGTCAAAGCGAAATCCAACCTTCATCGACGCACCATCGACGCGCCGGAACGCTCAACGCGACGACCCCAAGGCAGCATATCTCTTCTCTCAGCCATTACCTCACTGCAACGTTGCGCCTCCAAACACCATGGAATTTGTCTCCGACATCTCTAATCCAAGGTAACTTCCATCTCTTATGGCTATATGATTGTTATGAAGTGTTTGGTTGGATTGTTAGTGGGTTTGAGAATTTGGAGTGGGTTTGTTCGAAGAGAAGAAGAGAATACTGGGAAAAAGAGCGTTGTTCTCTTTCTCTCTATGAAATTTATGATATTTATGTTTTTCATTATTACTATTTGAACCGCCAAGTGTCACCATATGGTTGGATCTTTAGGATATTCTGAAAAATGCATAGATATGTAAAGGGGTGAGACGGATGTTACTGTAATCTTCTTGCTTCCTATTTTTTCAATTAATCCAATTTTTTTAATAGTTATTTTAAATTAGTTTATTTAGTTTGACTAACTTAATTTAATAATTAGTTTACTTTATTTAATTATTATGTAAAAATAATAAAAAGTCTAAGATCTAAAACAAATAGGTATAATTTTATTTATTCGATAAGTCAGATTGATTTACTTGTACAAAATTAAATTTTCATAATTAATTCAAATATTTTATAAATAATAGGATGTCCATCTTCGGGTAATTAAATCGGTCGACACATCGTTTATCGATTTATTATTTAAAATCAAACAATTAAAATTCATGCAATTCCAAATATTTCACATGTGAGCAGCACGAAGTCAATATCTGATCGCGGTGAGGAGACTATATCAGACTCCCCGCCTTAGTCTCAAAATAGCTAACCAGTACTTCAAATGTTTTTACTAACCTAACATAATCAAAACTCGAGATTATTTTCGAAAAAGGATTAAGGAGAATTAATTTCAAGTTTAACTGTGAACCGCGTCTACAATTATACGTGATCCTATAAAAAAAACACCAACCAAAATACAAACTACGAATTGGGACTCTGATTCCTCATAAGAGGATGCGTAGGAATACGATCTAAAATCATGGCGAGTCTTTCTAATTAAAACTTAAAATCTAGTTTACCCCAAACCTAAACCTAAAGTCTAATATCCTTGTGAACAAGGTGGATGAAAGGTGCCTAACACCTTCCTTTCGTCTAATTGAGTCCAAAACCTAGAATCTCTGTCTGCGAATTAGGGTTTTTTGTTAGGTTCCCTTCCCTAGGATAAAAACTAATAGTGGCGACTCTTGATTTAAAAATCAGTTGCTACAACTGTCAACAACATCAATTCTCCATTGTCACCAAATTTAGGAACCTCAAAGTCTTATTATAACAATTGATATGAACATAGTTGAACTCCAACCAGTTCATTCCAAGAATCACATCGATTTGGTGTAAGGTAAGACACACCAAATCTATCACAAAACTCTTACCATAAATAGTCAAAGGACACTTCGAACAAACGTAACCAGTAGTAACAGAACCACTAGCAGGAGTATCTATTAACATACTACCATTCATATCAAACAGTTTCAATTCCATCTTTGTAGCATATTTGAGCAAAATAAATGAATGAGTAGCACCAGTATCAATAATAACAACCAATTCAACATCGTCAATAAAGCAAGTACCTCGAATCAAGTTGCACTTCTTAGATTCCTCTTATCCACTAAGCACGAACACTCTACCATTGGTCTGAGCAGTAGCATCCTTCCTTGGTTTCTGATAATGGGTACTGATATGACCCTACTCTCCAAAATTGAAACAAATCGTACCATCGTTCTTGCATTCAGAAGCAGGATGACCGGACTTACCATACTTGTAGCACCTCAGCACCTCATTCTCATATTCATTGGATCTGTGACCTTGTTCACCCCACCTATAGCACTTGATAGAAGCGAGGGCTACTCCCTCACTTGTCTCATTCCCATCATAAGCCTTTTGTTTCCCTTTATCAGTTGGGGCATCATAAGGCTTCTTACGATCTTGATATTGCCTTTCTCTTTTCTCATTCAAACTCTTGTAGTAAGCTGAATGAGCTTTGTTATCCTCTTTATAGATTCTACAACAGTCCACCAACTCTAAAAACACATGGATCTGTTGATATCCACTTGCAATGCATTAATTCAAGACAAGTGAAAACGAATGGATGAATTCAAGACAAACATATACAATGCATTAATGAAACGAAGTTTAACATCAACAGATAATTGTTTGAAGAACAGAAGAAATTACAACTTTGAAAATTCAAATGAAGCAAAAGTCTCTCAGTTTGAGCTTCGTCACTTCAGGTGGAGAACCCCTCAATGGGAGATCTTCATCTCTCCGTCCGGCATGAACCTCAACACTCCAATGTCGATCAGATCTTGAATCTTGTTCTTCAAGGCCCAACAGTCGTCAGTGTCGTGTCCCGGGCTGTAGGAGTGGTAAACACAAAATGCATCGGGATGATAGTTAGGAGCGGAGGTATTGGGCTTCCGAATAGGATCCCTCAAAGTAGTCAAATTGACCTCCAACAAGCGCTCCAGAATCAGAGATGAAGGTATGTCAGTCTCAGTGAACTGTCTTCCCGACGTCTCTTGCTTACGCCGATTAACCCGTTGACGCTAACGAGGTTGTTGCTGGGCTTGTGACCCTGAAGCAAGTAGAGGAGCCTTCCCCTTGTCTTCTTGAGTGGATGGAGGCTGAGCGGTGACTTGCTCTTCAACCTCAGATGTTTGCCCCAATTGGTTGTTTTGAAGCAGTCGGCGGACGAGAACTCTGAGTTCCTCTTGTCTTTGAGACAAATCTTGGATGAGAGCCATCTGGCCCACCAACTGTCCCATCACTTGGATCCTCAAGGTTGCCAAATCAAACTGCAGCTCCACAAGCTGATCGCTCCTGGCATTGTTTGAATTCTCCAAGCCCTTTGTGAGGAGAGCTTTCATTTCTTCTTGCCCCAGAGACAAGTTCAAGAACATTTCCTGCAGCTGAGCAGTCTGGTCTTGGATGTCTTTGACAGACCTTTCTAGAGCCATCTCTTACTGAAATAAACAGTATGAGAGTAAGGAAACCTGAAAAAGGAAAAACTGTCAAAAATGCAATGCATGATATGTGGATGCATGCTTTCAAGGATCTCTTGGGGTAAACACAAGAAAATGTTAGAGGTTAAACTTCGATCTTTGATTGGAGATTTTTGCCCCGGTGGATGTCTTTCCAAGAGAATCAAGCTCACCATGTCGAGTGGGTCATAACCACTGATTAAAGTTGTTGCACTTGATCTTTGATTGGAGAACTTTGTATCGATGGATGTCTTTCCACGAGAATCAAGCTCACCATGTCGAGTGGGTCATAGCCACTGATTCAAGTTGTTGTACTTGATCTTTGATTGGCGTTCGTTTAGAGGAGAAACCTCTTTCCCCATGGTAGACGTTTGGTTCAGCGTAACCCTGCATCAAAAGAACCCTCGAGATCCTTGAAAAGGTTATTGAAAATGCTATGGTATGATGTCATGATGTTATGTTCATGCATGCAAAAGCAAATGAGTGTATATACAGGAAATCATATTCACACAAAGCAAAACAAGTCCTTAGGTTCAGGCTTGCATGGTATTGGAGGTAAGTACCCTCTTGAAGTTAGTTGGCTCATCCTGCCCTAAAAATAGAAACCGGGTTCTAAGGAGCTCAATATCATTGGATTGTTTTCTGTGTTCATCGTTTCGGTTTAGCCACTTAACTGGCGACCAAAATATTCCAAGAAAACAACCCTCAATGAGTGTAGTATCGAGTATCTACCAACTTCGGACTGCACCAAAGTCGGTCATCTCACTACCCCTAAAAAGGCTAAGATGGTCAATTAAGGTTCTAAGAGTTCGTTAGTGCTTCACGACATTACTCAGCGGCCCCGTACTCTCCTTGATTGAACTCAAGGGTTACCGGTACTCACAAATATGTCACACTAACATAGCTTACTGCTTCAACCATGTCGGTATACCCCGCACAGTTCCCTCACAGTTTTTTTGCTATTTACCTAAAAAGGTGCCCCAAATCCGGGTGTAGGATTTACAACAAACCCAAACAAGAACCCAAAAGATAAAGCAATCAAGTAAATCAAAGCAAGAAAGTAAAGGTGATCTAAACCCCAAGGTAACCCCACTTTTAAATCAATTCCCCAGCAGAGTCGCCAGTTCTGTGATACGGTGGGAGAACTGACTTGAGTTTTGCGTTTGTATTCGCACTTGTTCAGTTTAGCAAGAGTCGCCACCGACTTTTTATTTTATCCTAAGGAAAGGTTAAAAAGCACAGGAAAAACCTTTTGAGATGTTTCGTGGGTTCGGGGGGTAGATTATGAAAAGGGAAGGTATTAGCACCCTTTTCATCCATGGTTATCCATGGGCTCTTAGTTACTTGGTTTTAGATCACTTGCCTTGATTTTTGATTACTTGAAAATGGTGTGTGTATTTGTGTTTTGAAAATGTTTTTGAAATAGACGCCTTTGTTTCGGCAACCGTTGTAATGACTCGTGTTTGAGTATATACGAAGGTGTGTATCTTTTCGAAAAGATGTTTCAAATTTTTTTGGAAGTTTTGTTTTGAAAGTGTTTGTGGAGTGTGGTTTAAAAAGTAGGCAAGTGTTTTTGCAAGTTGATTAAGTAACTAAGAGTTTTGTCTACCCCTAAGTTTACTCAAAGGTTTTTCTCATGTTTTAACCTTTTTTTAACAATTTTGTTCCACCATTGTATTTGGTGGACAATCTTGCGTTTAGGATGTTTAACGGGACAGGCGTGGGTCATCGTATGAACCATGAATGCAATGACGCCAAGTGTCTTCGGCAATTTGCTTGAAGGGACTATGATCATTTTGATAGGCGACTTTTGAAAGCGTCATCGAGGGACTTATGATCATTTGAATTGTTTTGCCAAAGAAACTCGACGTGCAAACGTGGCCCATTTTGGAAGGCAACATGTGGGATTACCCTAGGGGTGCAAGTGTGATTGTGTATTGATTTCATGTATTTGTCTTTTTTAGGTTATCTAGCGTTTGATTTTATGTACATGCAAACCCTAGGTCTAACCATGGTATAATTCGAAAGCGATAAATTGCGGGAATTTAAAGTCTACGCTATTACAAATAGTATCCGGGAGTGGGGGTACAAATGTACAAATGGGGATGAGACTTAAATAATTACAACCAAATCGAATTGCGATCTCAAACGTAAATGTATCGAATATACAGAAATAAGCAAATGTATAATGTATTAATGCGAGTGTATTGTGTATGTGTAAGTGTATTAGGTTTATTTATTTACAAGTTGAGAAATGTGAATTTAATGAGACAATTAAATATTATTTATTTGCCAAGTATTATTATCTATGTTTGATTTAAATTTG